GGACCGATGGCCGGCCAGCCGGGGTTCGTCTTTATTTAAATTTATGTGTGTGTACTTCTAACATGTTTGCTTGGTAAAATAAATGTTGTAAATTCAAATCAGTGCGTCTTCCGTGTCTGGAATGGATGTATTCTTGAGTCTATAAGGTAACAATAAATAAGATAACCTTGTTTGAAATGGGTTTGGCTAAAAGAATGTTTTGGTTTCATCTATACTACAAGGTACTTATACTATATTGACTGGGTTAAATAGAATTGCATTTCTAAAAAGAGACTAAAATACAATTTTCATTGACTAAAACTAGACTAAAATAGTCATCGATAATTCTGACTAAAATAAGACTAAAATGCTCAGACTTTTAGTTGACAAACTTGACTAGACTAAAAAGAGTATGAACGTGACTAAAACTAATAAAAACTAAAATGACAGCTTCACACAAAGACTAGACTAAAACTAAAATTCAAACAGCCCACCAAAAACAACACAACTGTACACTCATTACTTTACATTGTAGCAAAGTGTCTTTCTTCAGTGTTGTCACATGAAAAGAAAATATTTACAAAAATTTGAGGGGTGTACTCACTTCTGTGAGATACTGTATATAAGAACATAATATTTATTAACTTATTTATATAAGAATATTAGTTACATAAATCAGTTAGATTTAATAGCTAGATTTTTTTTGTGGTATTCACGGTTTTTGTGGTTTAATTCCATTTCAGTTATGTTAGTATAATTTATATACTGTTACAGTATTTATTATGTATAAATAAGCTTTTACTGAGTATTTTCAACTTTCATTTGAAGTTTTAGTAATTTTGTTGTGCTTTTATCATTTTTAAGATTTTTTTACATTTCTATTTAGCTATATTTTTTATTAATAATTTATATTTTTATATTTATTTTATAATTCAATTTTATTTCAGTTTGTTTTAGTAAAATTACTAAAACTAAAGTTCAGCTTAAATTTATTTGAAGTTAGTTTCCAAAAGCAATGTCTAATTTCATTGTCTAATATTTTTATCTAATATTTATAGTTTTTTTTTCTTTCAGCTTTATTTCGGTTAATCAAAATCATTTATAATAGTTTTAGTTAACATGAACAACATTTAGAGTTTTAGCACAAAAAAAATAAATGAACTGAAGTTAGTCACTTTAAAGGCAAATCAGATGGTCTCTTCCTGTTTAAGTGGGCCATTCTCATATTATACATTTAATTCATTCAATAACATATATCATAGCTGTGTGAGCAGATGTGTGGAAAACAAGCATCAACATACCGTCCCTTTGTCTTTGTTGTTCAGCATTAACCTCAGGATCTGAACCTGCAGCTCCTCCACAACTACACACACACACACACACACACACACACACACACAGGTTCAGCTGAGTGTCACAGTGACAGATATGCTTGCAGATCTGATATTGTGTGTGTGTGTGTGTGTGTGTGTGAGACATACCCTCAATCCTCTTTTTCAGTCTGTGACAGCCTCGCTCGTACGCTCGCCGTCTCAGCCTCTCCTCGGCCGTCTCCTCGCGCGTGTCTCTCTCATCTTTGCCCTGGACACACGTCAGGTTCAGCTGAGTGTCACAGTGACAGATATGCTTGCAGATCTGATATTGTGTGTGTGTGTGTGTGTGTGTGTGTGTGTGTGACATACCCTCAATCCTCTTTTTCAGTCTGTGACAGCCTCGCTCGTACGCTCGCCGTCTCAGCCTCTCCTCGGCCGTCTCCTCGCGCGTGTCTCTCTCATCTTTGCCCTGGACACACGTCAGGAGAGACAGCAGAGAATTATTCATCTCTCGCTTCAACCAGGGCTCAGTTCAGATTACGGTTCGCTTGACGAGATCATTTCAGGTTACAGCTTTTGTGAAGCCTGTATAAATGATGCCATTCATATTCATACTCATCTGTCGGGATGTTTCTGACCTCTTTGTCGAAGCGTGTGGGCCACCAGGTGGTCGGGATGAGCTCCTCCAGCCCTGCCTCCTTCACTCTCAGAGGGGTCTTGATGTAGAAGAAGACCACAGACCGGAGCACGTCAAACGTGATGCTGTTAAGGACCGAAACCAATTCAAATCTCCAAGCTAAACGCATTGAACTTGTTTATTTAGGGTGTTCTAAGTCACAACCAGAGAGAACTTCTGAGAAGTTAATTTGAATGTTTGTATTATGACTAATTTTGTTTCTAGTTTTCTGTACTCAATTTTTTTTTCAATTGAGTATAGAGTGTGTGTGTGTGCGTGAGTGCGTGTGAGAGTGTCTGTCTGTCTGTGTGTACACTGCAAAAAATGCTTTTCTTACTTCCAGCCAAAATATCTAAAAATTCTTAAATCAAGAAGGATTTTCTAGACAAGTAAAAATGATTGTCTTGTTTTCATAAAAAGAACCATGTCAAAATTAAGTTCGTTTTTGCCTGAAACAAGCAAAATAATCTGCCAATGAGGTAAGCAAAATAATCTTGTTTTCTGTTTGAAATAATAATAAAATAATAATTATCTCACCTAAATGTTCGATCATGCAGTGCATTTTTGTTTTTACAGTGGGGCAATTGTTGCACAATAGCTTACACACCGCACAAGCCTGATTTGGTGTGCTGTATGAGGCGGCCTCATACCAGGTTCACAATACTCTGTTTGCAGTGTGTATGCAGTCCATGTGCGATACACAAAAAATAGCACGAGTATGTGTGAACCTGGCGTTATGCGTGCTACCCATACTGACATATCTATTCGTCCACCTAAATATCTACCCATCTATACATCTATCCAACTACCTAAATATCTACCTATGCAAATATCTATCCATAAACCTATCCACCTAAATATCTATCCATCTACCTATCAACATATCTATTCGTCCAGCTAAATATCTACCCATCTAATCAATCTTTTAACACATCCAACTACCCAAGTATCTATACACTTATGAACTATCAACATATTTACTGGTCCACCTATCTGTGCATCTACATATCTAACTAGTGCTGGGCGGTATACCGGTTCATACCGAATACGGTGTTTATTTTTGTTATGATATGACTTTTTAAAATACCGCAATACCAGTGTATGTCACTTAAACAATGTTCGGAACGCGACACTGTTTGAAAGGGGTCCCTTTTCACTGTTGCACTGTGGTGAGGGAACAGCTGTATTAAGCGTAAAAGCTCCGAAACTGAAGCTGTAGAACTAATAGAACGTGATGACACAGAAGAACTCATCCACAATATCCACATTGACCGCCACAAATATCCACCGCCCCCTGCCATCAGCTCCCGCATCTCACACACACGAGCGCGACTTTAGCAACTTTCAGACCCTTTTAGCGGCTTTTTTCCATAGAATATATATACTGACAAACCTAGCAACTTCTTGGGATAAACTTTAGCTATGGTGTAGCTATGGTTCAGTTGGAAGATTTCGCCAGTGCTGTCCCGCGAACGCGAGGTCTGAATTTCCCGGAGAGTCAGCGGCAGAGAAGCAGCGCATTCAGTTGGCCGTACCGCAGCCGACTCGTCAATAAATGAGTACAAAACAGCGTTTCCTAGCACCTGTCACTTACTGAACGTTTGGATTTATAAATATGAGCGTAGTTCATCTGTTAATATCACATACACTTTTTTTTTTTAGGTTTTTTTTTTTTAGTTTGTTACTCAGATGCAGGCAGTGCGCTGCATGAGACAAAAAAGTAATATAGCCAAAATAACCACATAGCCGCTCTTTAGTGTTAGATGCATGTTGATTTTATCAGACGATGCCGCGATTATAAATGAGAGTGACTCCTGGTTAACATTAAAAGGGGTCATGTTTAGTGTGGTATTTTTTGACAATATTCACTCATCATGACAGTAAAATAGGGCATTCTAAGTCAATATACTGTAGTATTTCCTCTCTCTCAATCAGTAGAAAATATGGTTAACACCCGGTTATGCATGATATACCGTCATGTACCGTGAAACCGGTATAATTTTGAAAAATACCGTGATATATATATTTGGTCATGCCAGCACTATATCTAAACATAACATAAATACATAGATATCAACCTATTAGCAAATATATAGATGGATACAAATTTATGTGAAAGAATATCTATCAATTTATCAATACATCTATCCAACAATCCATACACCTGTCTACCGAAATATCTACCATCTATGTATCCATCAACACATCTTTGTCTACCGATCTACATACCTATCCATCAATCTATCTATTTACCTATTCATCCACCTAAATATCTGACCACCTATATATCTATCCACCTACATATCAATCCATCTACCTATTGACATATCTATTTGTCAAGCTGAATCTCTACCCATCCACATATTTATCCATAAACCTAATTATTGTTCTTTCTACATATGTATCATCGACCATCAACAACTCTCTCTCTGTCTACCCATCTACATACAGTGGGGCAAAAAAGTATTTAGTCAGCCACCAATTGTGCAAGTTCTCCCACTTAAAAAGATGAGAGGCCTGTAATTTTCATCATAAGTATACCTCAACTATGAGAGACAAAATTAGAAAAAAAAATCCAGAAAATCACATTGTAGGATTTTTAAAGAATTAATTGGTAAATTCCTCGGTAAAATAAGTATTTGGTCACCTACAAACAAGCAAGATTTCTGGCTCTCACAGACCTGTAACTTCTTCTTTAAGAGGCTCCTCTGTCCTCCACTCGTGACCTGTATTAATGGCATCTGTTTGAACTCATTATCAGTATAAAAGACACCTGTCCAAAACCTCAAACAGTCACACTCCAAACCCCACCATGGCCAAGACCAAAGAGCTCTCAAAGGACACCAGAAACAAAATTGCAGACCTGCACCAGGCTGGGAAGACTGAATCTGCAATAGGTAAGCAGCTTGGTGTGAAGAAATCAACTGTGGGAGCAATTATTAGAAAATGGAAGACATACAAGACCACTGATAATCTCCCTCGATCTGGGACTCCACGCAAGATCTCACCCCGTGGGGTCAAAATGATCACAAGAACTGTGAGCAAAAATCCCACAACCACACGGGGGGACCTAGTGAATGACCTGCAGAGAGCTGGGACCAAAGTAACAAAGGCTACCATCAGTAACACACTGCGCCGCCAGGGACTCAAATCCTGCAGTGCCAGACGTGTCCCCCTGCTTAAGCCAGTACATGTCCAGGCCCGTCTGAAGTTTGCTAGAGAGCATTTGGATGATCCAGAAGAGAATTGGGAGAATGT